GAAATATAAAAATTTCTCTATAACAATTGGCTCAATAATATCCCCATGTGGCTTAATCATTAGTTAAAATTTGATACTCCATAATCCACATCCACACTACTAAAAAAATATTCGCGAATTGGCTGACGTAGCTTATAATTCATTGCTTAAAAAACTTAAACATACAGAAAATCAAGTGCTTTTATCCATACACATCTTCGTTTTCGCTCTTTTTCCTCTATTGAAGAGAGAAAGCACGAAATAACCAACACTTGCAAATTGCAATCACCAATAACAATAACATTAACATTGAACAGCAATGAATGATGAGTAAAAATGGTTCCCCTCACTTAGCACCATCCATCGAGTCCAATATCACTTTCATCAAATTCCGGGTCTCGCTCGAAACACACTCCCGGTCGAAAATCGCCGAAACAACCGCAACCCCTCTCAGGTTCGGCAGGCCGGGCCCCACAACGGCCCCCACATTAGAAACCCCGATCCCCCCAATTGCCACTACCGGCAGCTTCGAAGCCAAACAAACCTTTCTCAGCCCATCCAATCCCACACTAACATTGTTCTCTTTCGTATTTGTCGGGTACACTCCGCCACACCCGATGTAATCGGCCCCATCGGTCCATGCTCTCTCGGCTTGCTCGGGAGTTTTGCACGAGACACCGATGATTTTGTCCGGGCCGAGGAGGGCCCGGGCCACACGAGCTGGCATGTCCGACTGGCCAATGTGGACCCCATCGGCCCCACATGCAAGGGCGATGTCAACACGATCATTAATGAGGAAAGGCACGTTATGGGCCCGGCATATTTTGAGGCATGTCCTGGCTGCTTCTAGAAAATCCCCGGTGTCGAGATCCTTCTCTCTGCAAGATAGAAGAAGGATTACTTGGCAGTGTTTGTAAATTAGAAGCTGGAATTTGATTGAGAATTTGCGAGATGAGTTTGCCAATTTTCTGTAAAACCAGATAGGGCAACACAGTGAGCTTTATCTCAATGATTCAGCATCCATCCATGTATAATATGACCCAACAAATTGAAAAATCAATTAGATGTGTATTGTGTCAATAGATGTCACTTAAGCAATATGGATACATAATGGAGCTCTATCTGGTTTTATAGGAAAACCGAGACGAGGTGTGCTTTATTAGTGATGGAATAATAAACAGAAAAGGGAAAAACAAAAGGGAAAAACAAAAGAGATGTAATGCATTTAAATGAAAAACCTTAGTTGAACTATTGTAGCGCCACCTTCTACAGCAGCTT